TGTTTCACAAACTCATACTCCTCAGTGATGGGAAGGTTGCTTATCATGGAGTACCTCAGAAAGCTTACAGTTTTTTTGTTGAGGCTCTCATGAATAAGTACCTCAATCGTGGTCTGCTGATGCCTCAATTAGAGGAACATAATCCAGCAGGTAAGGATAGGAAGAATTAGATTTTAAATTTTACATTGCGTGCTAATATTGCATATAATTAGGGTCTGCCAATTTTAAATACTAGCAAAATCTTTTTTAAAATTCTGACTAAAATTAATGGGTGTATACATAGCAAAAATCTAAAGCAGTTTGGAATACAATAATATTAGCGAAACATCTAAACCAACAGCAGTGTAGCACAAATGACGTCAGCAGTAGCAGCAGCTAGTCATGTTCATATTCAGTTAGCGCTTGTTCTTTCTCATTCATTTTGGCAGTAATGCTTTTCTTTCCTTTATCTACTGCATCAGTGAACTCCTTGGTCAATTCTGGCAAGCGTGCTAGTGATTCCTCATAACGTGGATTTTCCTGTATAAAACTGTACAGGCCCGAGCGTGTTGATTCTATTCTCATTCCATATTCTTCACATACATCTCGTAGAGCTACCCATCCTGCATGATATAATACGCCTTTTTTTATAAATGCTGGATTATTCCAAAGCCTTTTCCTTTTTTCTTCATCTAGAGTAGCGTACATTTCAATGGCTTCTTTGATTTCCGTTGTGGCCAATTTTTGGCAGTGATTCTGAACGTAAGACCAAAATCTTGCAGCCTCTTCCATGATGACAGACAGTGAACGTAGACCACCTGAGGCCTTATGCAACGCTTCAATAGCAACTTGAGCCATCTCCTTTTCTGTTGTCATGTGCTGTAATTTTCCAGCAAATTCAGACAATTTTTGTAATCCTTCTAGATGGTATTGTTCCATTTTTAGCCGAATTTCAAGCTGCTCCTTGGCCTTTTCTTTAAAAAATTGGGCTTTTTCACATGACCTTCCACCTGTCATGCCTAAAATGTCACTAGGAAATGAGAAAACCATTTTAATGACACCAAAGACTGTATTCCTTTTTTCTTTTCGAGCCAACTCTTTTTCTACTTTTTTCTCATATTTTCTCATCTCTTCTTTTGCTTCCTGTGCGAGCTCGTAATACCTGTTTACTAGTTTTTCATATTCTTTCTTTTTTTGTTCTTCTATTTTCTGCTCAATCTCCAAATCCTTGTTACGTATTGCTTGTTCACCTTTTGCTATTTTTGAGGTTTCTAGTGCTTCTTCTACTTTTTTTGCTTGCATTTTAAACTTTTCCTTCAGCTCATGTGCAATCTTAGTCATCTCCTCTGCTAGTTTACCCAACGAAGTGAGAGATTGAATGGCAATGTCTTCAAATCCATCCAATAGGAATTGATATACAGATATTAATTGAGAGGAAGCAGTTGCAGCAGTTGATCGAAACCTGTCAACTGTGACAGAGGAATCATTGCAGAGACTAGTGATTTCGAATCCCAGTCTTTGTACTTGATTTTGTAGATCAGAAAAATTTGGCCCTGCAGCATTGACCCCATTGTATGCAACCTTGATGAACTTCCCAACATGCTCAATGTAGTTGACCAATTTTTCAAGATCTATATTACCAGCAAAATTTTTTCTTTCACTTTGAACGAGAGCAGAAGATGCTTCAGGGACTGACAGAAGTGAATACTTCTCACTTCCAATCTCTACCTCTGCTTGATCTGAGCTTCCAGTAGCCATAACAAACTGAAGTGAGAATAAAAACTACAACTAACAGCTTGCACACCTTTTTATGAAAATGAAATCATTATTACAAGTACTGGTATTCATGTGTCGTTTCAATGTAGAAATGTAATGAATTATATAAACACACGCAATAATAGCATGTGTTTATCCCATGCAACATCATGACGATGCAACACCATGATGATGCAACACCGTGACGATGCAAATCACATGATGCAAAATCCAAATATGACTAATTTTGATAAAAGGGGCTGCGAAAGAAAATTTTATCAAAATTATATCTACAAATCCTAAATGGAAAGTAGCAACCAGGTAGTGCCTATAGCACAGTCATGTATTGAAGCAGCTCAAGATATCTACAGGGCTGTATCTACCAATCCACCTGAAGGAGGAGCAGGTGTCAACATACCAGTAGAGAGGCTGCAGACTCTGCAGAATGATGGACAGCGTTTGTCTAGATTCTCAAAGGAGCAAGAAGGTCTATTCAAAAAGAAAGAAACAGAGCAACAACTGGAATTTGAGTCCTTAACCAGGGAAAAAGGAAAGCATGAGTTGGAGAAGAACCGTCAGCAAAAAAACCTGATATCACTTGAATCAAGAAAAGATGGCTTGTTACAAGAAAAAAATTATCATCAAAGTAGCTTAGATAATGCAAGGTCAGCTCTTAGTAGTGCTACAAGTGGCTTGCATCATGCAGAAGAACGTCTGAATAAATCTAAGAAAGACAGAAAGAAAAAAAAGAAACGCGGTGGACTTTTTGGGGCAGCAATTGGATTTGTAGTTGGAGGGCCAGCTGGAGCAGCTGTTGGAGCTGGTTTAGGTGTGGCTGGATCAGCATTGATAAGTGAACTGGAAGGGAAAGTTGATGAGGCTAGACGTAATGTTGATAGATGTCAAAGAGAAGTTAGCAATGCTGAGGCAAATTGTCACACTGCTAATAGCTCCTTTCAAGGTATGCAGCCTCAAATAGACAGTTGCCAAAGGTCTATAAATGATTGTGAAGCTTCAATACGACGTTGCACTGCTGATTCTGAGAAAGTTCATGAGGAGATTGGCTCTGTTAGGCAATCGCTAGCATTTATAAGTGAGGCAATTCGTCTTTGGAATATATTTGAGAATTTGTCACATAATGCCACTGAACAAACAAGGCAGTTCGAAGAGATTCTAAAAATTGTTCAAAGTACCCAAAGGTATGATTTCATTGGCTCTAGTGGAGCACGTTCTACAGCAATCTCATTTCTAGAAGCTTGGAACAATATATTTGCTGAGCACAACGTTCCTCCTGTTATTTCTACTATGCAAGCAAGCATCAACTGAACTGTAACTGCTACATAGATTATACTTTTGCTGTATTGCTGCACTAGTTGAATGATTAAATTTTAGCTGTTGTAGTGATTTTTAATAGATTTTTTTAGTAAACCTGTAATGATGATATTTATAGCGCGTTATAGCTTAGCGATGCCATAACTTTTGAATGTAATAGAACATCACGTATACATTTATTTGTAACTAATAGATATTATTATGGACATGCTTGGAAAACCATGGATGAGAGAAGTTATCCTAGAGCACTATCAGGTAAAAACACCTCCTTCCTCTCTCTCCCCCCTCTCTCTCTTTCTCTCTCTCTTCTAACTTCAGACTGTTACCATATCTTCTCTTTACACTGTCCTACTGTTAGACCTCATCTGAGCCTGAGCTGATAAAGTGGGCCATCAAAAGAGCTCGTGTCTTTGATTTTGAAAGCGTATCAATTGCGACACTATCCAGAGACGACAGTAACGACCTACCAATGATGAGACACTCGTCAAACCCAGCACAGTAAGAAAAAACATAAACAACAACAACAACAAGCAGCATAAACAACAACAACAATATAAGCATGAACAACAACAACAAAAACATAAACAAAAACAACCTGAATAGCAACAACAGCATAAACAACAACAAAAGCATGAACAACAACAACAATGATGATGATTATTGTTTGTTTATTTTATAGTATTAATACAAAGAAGGCCAAGAAGATAAGGCCTCAGGCCAGTTGGTTTGCTAGACTTGCTGTCCTTGAAGCAAGAGCCAGCAAGAGGGCCAGTCTAATCTGGATGTTCTATCTACCTGTCATATTCTTTGTATATGGATTTGTTCTTGGTATGTGTACATAATCCTTCCTGCCTTACTTTTAGTTATGTTTCCTTTTCTTGCTATTCCCTTGATTCTCTTCAGGTACTACCTATTTGCAACAAGATTCTGCTCTGTTTGTATTGTCTGGTTTTTGTGTTTACTCTGTAGCCAGTGCACTCTTCATGTTTCCAGTCCTGCAAAATTACTACATCAAAGCATTAGAGGTTTGTTATTATTGTTATTATTATTATTATTATTATTATATATTACAGGTGTATAGATATGAGAAGGCTGATGGTGCAGGGAGGGCACAGGATCTTGTGTTTCAAGGTTTCTTTCGGTTCTCAACAATGGCGATCATACCAGTAGTATTCTCTGCTGGAGTCTTATACCTACTGGTAAGAGCATGAATAATGAGCTCATTCCAATCAAGTTTGGATTTTTATGAATTTTTAAAGTTGCTCAAAGACCGGGCCAAAGTTCCTGTACTATAGTACAGGGTTGTTTGCCAAATTTGTCAAAAATGACTAGGAGACATTTTTCTATTTTTATAATTTTTTTCTGATACATATACATGTTCTTATGTTATGTATCAAGTTTGAGCTGATTCTGATCAAGTTTGGATTTTTTATGAATTTTTAAAGTTACTCCAAATTATTTATAATTTATTTATAGACTGTGAAAATGGAATTTTGGGATGGTATGGTATTTCTGGATTTTGCTATCATTAACATGGCACTCAACCAGACGTGGATTGCTTTATTGACATTCGTCTTATGTGCGTTCCCCAATTATTCTGCACGTCTCTCACCAATGATATCCAGTGTTGCTGGCTTTAGCAGTGGGTTCTTTGTGCCTAGGGATGAAACGGAGTGGTAGTAAGTATAAATGTATTAATATGAATTATAAACTTTATTATTTTATTATTTTTATTATTTAACGTGCGCTTAATGGCTCATTCTTCCTTTCTCTCTTCTCAGTTATCGCTGGATATTTTATGTCAATCCAAACTACTATGGTTTTTCTGGTATTGCAAAGCGTCTCTTGTCTGATTTTAATAACGATTGTGACAACCTTGATGCTAATTGCTACATAAATTCCGGCAACTTTATCCTTCATCGCTACGGGTTCTCTGACGTAAAGCCGTTTGTACAAGTTGCTGTAAGTATAATTAGTATAATTATTTGATAAAGGGAAGAGAAGTCAAAAAAAGGGAAGGAATGAGGAGGAGAATTAGAGAAGAATGATAATTTTGGTGGCTTTACATGTGAATATTTTTACAATTAATGTATGTTATTATTATTATTATTATTAATGTAGGTTCTTCTGCTAATGACAGTCATCTTTGTACTATTAGCTGTGTTTGCTAACTGGCTG